CGAGTTGGCCGACTAAGAACTGCCTACACCTATTTTTGCCTTGGCCTAGGGGTGTCTAAAGCCTAGGCAATTTTTGCCTTGGCCTAGGGGTGTCTAAAGCCTAGGCGGTTGTCTAAGCCGATTTTTACAACACTAGTAATAATCAAGAACTAGATACTATTGGCATGGGTGCTGACAGGTCGACAGTACCTAATGCAACCAAAAAAACATGGTAAACTTAGTTGTATTCGGTATTGTCAGCACTAGTGTCAATTGGCACCATAGCCTTTGCTTTATATGTAAATGCAATACAATGAAAAAATTAGAGGGAGGTGGGTGGGTGAGGGGGAAGAGAGATAAAATTGCTCAAAGTACAAAAATAATTTTAGAATTTGTAAGTTTGTAGTTTGTACTTGCACACCAACCTCCTGAAGTAATCAGAGTTAATACACATTTTAGTCTTCAACTATAGTGAATTTTCTCGATTTAGTCCTAAGCGATTTTTACCCAATTGAGTCTTCGGCTTTTAGATTCAAGAACTAAATCAAGAAACACCACTATAGTCAAATGACTAAATTTGGTAAAGCCACCTCAGTTTAAGACTAAGTTGGTAAAACTAGTATAGTCCAAGACTAAATTAGATATTAATTGAGGCGAACCAAACTATCTTAATAGATGACAGATGACTCAATTGGGTAAAGCAATCAAAGTCGATGATCTAATTAAGTACAAAAAGTCATTTAGGACTAAATCAAAAAACACACTATAATCGTGGACTAAATTCGATATTAACTCAAGTAATCATGAATTTAAGATTTAAAAAAAAAAAAAAAAAAAGGAAATAGAAATACCTGTCCATCATACCAGCCAGTCTCTTCATCTTCAGCAAATATCAATCAAACAAAGAAATAAGCAATTAATTTCTCAAATTATATTTTTTCAAAAAACAAAAATTAAGAATCACAAAATATTGCTTTTAGAAATTACATTCAACAGTGGCACTGAGCAAGCGGTTGCCAATGTAGGCCCAGCCAAGATACATCCTCACAACGGCGAGAGTGACCACGAAAAGCCCACTAGACGCGGCGCCCAATACCGGCTTCAAAGGGTCGGACTCGGGCCCAACCGACCCGAACCACAGGACGGGCAGCCCCACGAACAGCCCAAACGAAGCTCCGGTGACGAACAAGCGGGAGCAGTACTCGACCAAGTCGCCGGAGGCCCAGGCGAAAGGGAAGGATTCCGACAGGGCCTTGTATTCGTTCACGGGCTGCTGCTCCAACGGGACGGGGCACTCCGTCTCCGGCAGAGAGTTGTTGTTCCGGAAGGATGCGGAGGGAATAATTATTCTTCTGCGGTTGTGGAAATGGCGGTGGGGTTTGGCGGAGAAGGGCGGCGAGACGACAGGAGGCGAAGAAAGGAACAGCGAAATCGCCATTTCCGAGCTTAGTAGAATTATTTGCATAAAAATTGGTGTTAATAATAGTAGTAATTGTTTTTGGCTTTCATTTTCTTGGAACAAAAATATCTCAGAGAGTGGAGTGTGCGTGGAGATATGGACTAACCCGAGAATTTGTTCCAATTTTTTTACAAAATTTAAAAAATCTATCCTACTCTATAATAATAAAGCAGAAGATTTTTTTTATAAAAAAAAATAAAAAAAAATATTCGGTGCAAAATGACGTAGTTTTGGCATTAGAGGAATTGATATTTTTTAATTATATTTATCATTTTTATTTTGTTTATTTGCTTGATAATTAATTAATTAATAACATTTTTCAATGTTATTCTGATTTTCATGTTGTTTAGTTTTCCAAGTTATAAATAAGAGGGGAGTATGAAAAAAATAATGATTATAAAGTAAATTTTAAATTTAAATTCTCATAAGAAATAATATATAAATACTGCATGTTCAATGGTAAAATTTCACACATACAACATAACAACATTCTCATATTCAATTATCAAACCAGAAAAATTGTCCCAAAAATATCAAAATAGCTAGAATGTTCATTTTAGCCAATGAGATCAACCATCTTAGCTCCCAAAAAAAAAAAAAAAATGAAACTCTAATTAGGGAGAACATATGCTTTAATTAGTTAAATTTAAATTGTTTAGTTATTTATTATTTGAATTCGCTTCGGCATTTCTTTGGTTTCTTGTATTTAGAATTTGGGGGTGTTACACCAATACACACGAGTAAAATAGTCGGATTAAGCGCCGGCATCAGCACATTGTTGAGACCAGTTTGGCTCTCCTGGCTGGAGGGCCAGTTCCCCTAAAACATTGGGATTCTGCGTTTGAAACATCTACTTGATAAATCGTCTCCCTTCATCGGCCTTACAGCTTTATAGCCCCTACTATCGTCTATATAAAATCCCTCCCTCTTATGATTTCCTTCGGGTGTTTAGGTGTCTCTGTTTCCCGTACCTTCGACCGTATAATCGGCACAATGTAGAGTTTCAGTCTGCCCCGTGTGTCCTTTTTGGGTATCCTATGTCGTTTAGGTGGTATCATTGCATGAACTTTAATACTAGAAAGATCTTTATCTGTCGCGATGTTAGATTCGATAATGTGTTCCCCTTTGCCTCAGGTTCTTCCTTGCAGGATTTGACTCGATCTGTGTCTCCAGAATCTGTTGTACCTTGGGGCTCTGGTCTCGTGGTGCCTATTGCTGGGGAGTCGGTGCCTCCGACTGTGGCTCCCTCCGCTGTTGGTGGTGTTGCTCCTAATGTAGGCCCGTTGTTCCCCTCGACCTGGCGGCGTGGTTCGGGTGCTGAACCTAAGGAGCGATCTCATGTTATGCGCTTGCGTCATATGACTCGAGGCACTGGTGAGCAGTTTCATGCCCTGACTGTGTTGAGTGACTCTGTAGATCCCACTTGCTATTCCCAAGTTGTGGGTCACCCTCAGTGGCGCGAAGCCATAGACCAGGAGTTTAATGCGCTCCTGCACAATCATACCTGGCGGCTAGTCCTGATTGAGCCTGGCATGAATATTATAGGTTGCAAGTGGTTGTACCACACCAAACGCAAGGCTGACGGATCTGTGGAGCGCTATAAGGCGCGCCTAGTTGTCAAGGGTTTCAACCAGGTGGCTGGGGAAGACTTTTGTGACACCTTCAGTCCGGTGGTCAAGCCGACTACGGTGCAGATTCTATTGTCCCTTGCGGTCTCGCGGGGCTGGACACTTCGTTAATTGGATGCCCATAATGCCTTCCTCAATGGGCATTTGGAAACCGTGTATATGCGGCAGCCTCCCGGGTATTCTGATTCTGTGCATCTTGATCACGTCTGTCTTCTTCAGCGGTCCCTATATAGGCTGAAATAGGCGCCTCGGGCGTGGTTCAAATGCCTGCATGATTTCTTGTTATCCATAGGGTTCTCCTCTTCTAAAACTAATGTGTCCCTATTCCATTACTCGGCTGGTAACTCGCGAGTTTTTCTTCTTGTCTACGTAGATGATATCATTATGATGGGAAATGATCCTATGCTTATTAACACTCTTCTGCAGCGTCTTTCCTCTACTTTTAAGATAAGGGACCTTGGCACGCCTAGTTTCTTTCTTGGCATTGAGACTCTGTCGGTTGACGGGGGTCTGGTTCTTTCACAAAGCAGGTATATGGGTGATCTCTTGAAGCGAGCCGGTATGACTGACTACAAGCTGCTGCGACTCCTGCCTCGGTGACTCGGGTTGTGGTTTCCGCGATTGAGCTATTTGATAATCCCACCTAGTACCGACGTTTGGCTGGTGCCCTTTAGTACTTGACCATTATGCGTCCGGACCTTTCCTATGCGGTCAATCAGTTGTGCCAGTTTATGCATGCTCCGACTGAGGAGCATTGGGGCTTTCTCAAACGTGTTCTTCGCTATGTTAAGGGCACGCAAGACTATGGTTTGTGGTTATCTGTTTCATCTTCTTGTGATATTCATGCTTTTTCAAACTCCGACTAGGCTGGTTGTCTAGTGGATCGAAAATCAACCAGTGGCTTCACGATATTCCTAGGCTCTAACCTTGTCTCCTGAGTGTCGCACAAACAATGGACAATGGCTCGTTCTTCGACTGAGGCTGAATACAAGGGTCTTGCTGATGTATCTCAGTATCTGCTGAGGTCACGTGGGTTGTCTCTTTGTTACGTAAACTTGGGCTGCATTCTGGTCGCTCGGCCACCTTGTGGTGTGATAACCTTGGCGCCACGTACTTGTGTGTTAATCCTGAGTTTCATGCTAGGACTAAGCACGTGGAGATTGACTACCACATCATTCAGGACAAGGTGGCCTCCGGGGACTTCCAGGTTAATTTCGTGTCCACGAAGGATCAAATGGCTAATATTTTCACAAAGCCGCTACCGGCACCGCGTTTTGAGGTTCTTCGAGACAATCTCAATGTTATTTCCCTTCAACCTTGTGCTTAGGAGGTGTGTTAGCGATATCAGGTCTTGAGTGGTTGTAGTTAGTTATACCTCAACTAGTTCCCTATTGTGTAGGTGTAGATATCTTGTACTTGTACTCTTGTATTTGTACTCTTGTATTATCCTACGGTTAATGCAATACACATTATATCTTCTCTCATCCTCTCTACCTCTTCCATCAATAAGCATGCTACAACTGAAATTATCGATACATAATCATCATCACTGTTAGTAGAGCTATTAGAACTAGTATAAACCTATTGTGACATTATCCTCGCAATATGAAGTGTAATAGACATTTGGAAAAAAAATTAGTCTTGATATTTCAAACTAGCATAAGTATTAATACAAACAAACTCAGCAATGTGCTAATAAAGTTGGGTCACATACAACAAGTCTATTTAAAGTCTTAAGCAGTAACAACAACAATTCAACAAATTCAACAAACATATGACAACAAAGCCAGTCAACTGGCACGAGTTCAACACATTCACTTTAAAGATAACACCCAATCACGTTGTCATTCAGGTGGCATTTCTATGAAGCCCTCACGGATGTCAGGATTTGTCAATTGCTGAAAAACTGCATTAATGGCAGAGGGGGGGGGGGGGGGGGGGGGGGGGAGGGTGAATCCCACTCATGTTTTTCAAAATCTCAATACAAGTTTTCATGGTATATGGGGTAGCATTAATGGCAGAGGGGGGAATAACACTCATGTTTTTCAAAAATCTCAATACAAGTTTTCATGGTATATGGGGTAGCAGCCGCCGTACTCATTGTACTAGCCTCTTCCCTGGCTTTTCGGCATTGTTCTTTTGAGCTCATAGTGGCACTAACACTTTTCAATACATCGGTTATCTGATCCTTCCACTTCTTGTTAGTGTTCTTCCTCGTGCTACCACCAATATCCATCATGTCATCCAAACTCCTATTCCCTTTGGAATTGGTACCACCTGTATCAGTTGCAGTTGATGATGGTCTTGCACAATGAAGAACTCATCCTCATCAAGGCATTCATCATCAGAGTTAGGTGGCATTTGCATGGACGAGTTGGCAAGACCTCCCAGTAGCAACAGATAGGGCAAATACATCAGCCATTAGCTCGTAGCGTTTGCAACCATTTTTCTTAAAAAACTTGAATTTAAGATGCTTCTGTTTCAAACATAAATGTATGTATTATTAAATTATACAATTGAATGAAATAATTGGATATCATTATTAAACTAATAGAACAAGAATTTTGGTTTCATACCGCGTAGAATTTTTTCCATGTATCCTCACATGCCTCCACAATGTTTGTAACTGGATTATATGTTACCCTCATATGATAAACCAACTCAGAAAACTACGTGTACATCAATTTCAGCCTATTATATTCCTTTAAGTTTAGTCATTCCATAACTTAAACCAATAAACTCCATCATCTCACGATCAATTTCATTCCAATCTGAGGGTTTTAACTTTTAATGAAAGCTGTCCAGCCGTACTTTTTTCACTCTTCATTTAGAATTCTCAAAAATTCTATAATGGCTATATCAGGCCATTTTGCTTCAACCTCATTCGTTTCTGCGAAGTTATTCATCTAAGCAAATGCAGTAATGCACAGTCATTAATATATTGCATACCAGCAAATGCACAGCAATAATTATGGCCTAATATCGACCTAGCTAGATCACTTGGCCACTGCACAAACAACATAAGTACATAACCAATGCCTTTACTTCTTAGCCTACTAAATTAAAGGTGTAAAAACAGGGAGGCAAACAAGAAGAAGAGCAGCAATATGGCCTAATATCGACCTAGCTAGATCACTATGCCTATTTATATCAACAGCAATAATTATGAGCCTGTCAAAGCTTAACATTATACTTGCTAAAAGCAGAAAAACTGAGAAATTGCAGCTTAAAAACTGAGAAATCAAAAAGGCAAACATGGTTAGCAACTTAAGATTATTTTTTTATTTGTAGCTGGAATTTGCAGCTTAAATAATAAAAATAACAGTTAATAATAATAAGCAAAAAAATAAATAAATAGAGAAGGTAACTGATACACACCCAAGGGAATGGGTGGTTTACTCACGCAAAAAAAGGGAATCAACACAAGATTGGAAAGCAAGAAATCTGGACAGAAAATCAGGCAAATCAAACAATCAACACACTGATCAAGGGACAAGCTTAAATCATGCAACCTGACAGAAATCAATCAGCTTCTCAATTCTCTCCCTCTACTATATTTACTTTCTGCATTGCATTATAAATTGTAACCTCCTCAAGAGAGGAGGGCATCCAAAACTTTATCCTTAGTCTTTAAGCTTTAGTAGTTGGGGAAAGAGCCTAAAACTCTTGTTGGGAAAAGTCTTAGGACTTCCTGTTTCTTTATTTCAGTTTCTAGTCAATAAAAATACATCATTGTTCTTTTCTCTAACAGTAATTACGAATATCAAAAGAACCAAAAGTTGTCGTGATACGTCCTCCCAACTTAGCAACACAAAAATGCAATTGCAGTTGTTACAAACTTACAATACATGAAGTTTGCACCAAACCAAACCAACAGTTTCAGGACACCTATTACTAATAGCATAAATCAAACTACAATACAAATTTTGCTTTTTAACCAATCCAATATATCTTTCCTTTTACTTTTCTTTTTTCCTTAGTAATAGGCATTAGCAATTGCAAGAGGCAGCCGAACAGCCAGACTACACAAGGACTGTTTACAGCATTTGCCATCTCATCTTATACCCCATAACTGAGGGGCTATAGCTTTCAGATTCAATGTGGTTTCTGATAGAAGAGGTAGAAGCATATTAATAATAGAACAGATAGAAGCCAATTAATAATAGAAGCAGATTCAAGGGGGTTTCTGATAACTTAGAACAAACCTCCTGCTATCTAAGATAAGATAATTAGCACCACTAAATCCACAATGTAGAAGAGATATAAGAGATAGAAGCTGTTTAATAACAACAGATTAAGCAAAAAAAAAAAAAAAAAATAGAATAAGCAGATTAATAATAACAGATTAAGTAAAAAAAAAAACATATTAAACAGTAGTTAATAATAATAACCAGGCAGTTTAAAATGCACCAAAACTCATCTTAAACCAGGCAGATTAAGCAGATTACCAGGCAATTACAAACCAAAACTCATCTTAATCTCGAACTGGGGCTCCAAATTAAGCAGGTTAAAAATCACCACATCTCTCATTACTCTGTTACCAAGCAAATTACAAAGCAAAATCTCATATATGTTCAACTCTAATTCTTCATATCTGTTCAACTAGGGCTCAAAAATGCACATCATAAATAAAATATACTCAAATGCTATTCTTTGAGATGAAGATGGTTTACCTTGGACGAGGAGATAGGCATGAGCCAACAGATGATTTTGGTGACTCCGTCTTTGGAGCCGAGTAGACAGGATCGGACGGTAGACAAGAGTGAACTCGCCGAGTCTAGTACTTCATTCCTCGGAGCGTCGCCTTTGGTATATTCGTCTCTTGTATACTCGCAGAAGAAGCCGAAGGATAGTGGATGGCTGGTACACTCGCCTCTGCCCTCTGGCTCTGGTATACGGTAAAGAAGAAAAGTGAAGAAAATGCTTGTTGCAGGAGTCGATATGACTTTTCAGTTATCACTATTCAAGTCTGTTACATATACTTTCAATCTTAGTAAATTAGTATGATACGGGACACAATTTTATGAACATTTTAGTTATGTTGTGTTGTAATATAAGTTTAAGATAATATTATTATTTATATGTATTGTGTTATTAGACTAATAAAATCAAATTTATTATAAAATAAAATAAAATTACTAATATAAATTGAATAATGCATACATTAAAAAAAAAAAAAAAAAGAGAGAGAAATAGTAATTTATTTGGCATGATATCCTCATATATAAATATAGGGGTGTGCAATCGGACGGGTCGGATGGCGGAACTAGTCCTCCGATCGGATTTCGGATTTGAATGTTGACTACCCTATCCGTTTTATTTTGTTGACTTATCCGTTCGGTTATTTGTATGTTCGGGTATGATCGGTTCGGTCGGATATCCGGTTGGTATTTCGGTTTTATGACAATGTACAAATCAAATAATCATTTCATGGAACACTTAACTAAATAACTACTTAAGTACTATAAGCCCCTAACTAGTAATTAATAACTACTTAACAACAAAAATAACATAAGTAAACTTATAAAACTTTAAACATATAATCAAATTAACAAAATTACAAGTTAGAACTTAGAACTTAGAAGCTAGAACTGAAACTTCAAAACATACAAATTTACATATTAGCTTACAACATTAAAACTTTTATGGCCCGTTTGGTTCACGGAATAGGCCGGGAATGGCATAGCATTCCCAGTAATAGGCCTATTCCTTTGTTTGGTAACCATTTCTATTACCAGGAATACTATTCCTGGTAATAGCCTATTACCTCAAATATGGTAATAGCTATTACTAGGGGGCCCCCTGGTATTAGCCTATTACTGAACGCTCAGGAATAGATTTTAGAATCTATTTTTTTACCCCTTTCTTTAACCTAATTTTTTTATCCTATACATAAATTTATCCTATTTCACCACCGTCGTTGCCACCACCATCACTGCCGCCGCCACCACCACCACCACCATCGCCGCCGCCGCCACCACCACCACTATCGCCACAACCTTCCCCGCCCCTACCACCGCCGCCGCCCCCACCACCGCCGCCACCGCCCCCACCACCACCCCCACTACCACCTCAGCACCACCACCGCCACCACCACCATCACCACCACTGCCACCACCATCGTCGTCGTCGCCACGACCACCACCACCGCCACCAGAACCACCACCCAGCAGCACCACCGCCACCGCCACCACCACCACCGCCACAACCGTCGCCGCCCCCACCACCATTGCCACAACCGTCACCGTCACCACCACCACAGTCGCCCCCACCACTGCCACCACCACCACCACTACCACCCCAGCACCACCACCACCATCACCACCACCGCCACCACCATCGCTACCACCACCACCACCATTGCCACCACCACCACCACCATTGCCACCATCACATATTTTTATAAGGGTATTTATGTCTTTTAAAACATATTTTATTTCTATTCCTTAAATCAACCAAACACTGTAATATAATTCCTAAAGTCTATTCCTTCCGCGAACCAAACATTAGAATACAATTCCTATTCTATTCCTTGCCTATTCCATTCCTTATGGAATAGCATTCCTATTACCTCAAAATTCATTCCGTGAACCAAACGTGCTGTTAATGAGAAGTTCAATTCTTCATAGCAAAAATATAACAATCAACAAGACAACAATTCAGCAATCAGCATCATTCTCCAATCTCCAAGCAGGCAAGCATGCAGCAGCATCATTCTCCAATCAGCACATCAGCATTCAGCTTTCATATTTCAGCCATTGAGCAAAAGAAAACCAGAAATCCAAAACTCCAAAAGTAATATATGAATATATGATTTATATAATATAGAGTACTCTGTCTCTAATCTCTATTAGTCTATTCTTCTTCCTGATAAGTGAAGACATAAAAACAGAATAAGTGGAACAATGGATTGACAGAAACTGTAAAAGACTAAAAGAGTGCTCAGATAGCTTTTTTTCCATATCAAGTTAGGATTGGGGGCACACTACTCAATGAGTATGGCATAAACACCACACTTCATAGGCAACATACCAAACCCAATTCTATATATTCATAGAAGGTGGAAGCATCATCATTGCACAATAATACTTATACTGGAACAATTAATGGATTATATTTAAATAGCAAAGACTCAAAGAGTGCTCAGATAGCTTTTTTTCCATATCAATTTAGGATTGGGGGAACACTACTCAATGAGTATGGCATAAACACCACACTTCACAGGCAACATACCAAACCCAATTCTATATATTCAGAGAACATGGTGGAAGCATCATCATTGCACAATAATGAATATTTATACAGTTATAAGTATAGTGAGTCAGAAGTCAGAAGTCACAAGTCACATTTAGTCAATACTTATACTGATACCTGAGCTCAATGGCAGCAACATTTAAAATGTTACCTAGCCATGAGCACTTTCCAGTTCCAGTTCCCACTTCCCAGCCTCATGAGGGACATTGATTTGAATCATTGATAATTTGATACACATACATGATACACTGATACAGAGGCATAAATTTATCATGAAATCAAATAAGTAATCACAAATTCAGAATAAGAATTCATAAAAGAAAATAAATATGTAAACTGTAAACATACAAGAATTGTAGGCAATCCAACTCCAGTGCTGGATGTGCTGCACAACTCTGCAGTACAAATACAAAATGGAAATTAAAACTTAAACATATAGTTTATAAACAATTAAACAAATACAAAATGGAAGTTAGAAGTATATACCTTTTTCAATCCTTTCAACATCATCAATATTTTCTTCAATAGAGATTGGTTGATTGGTTAACCTTAGCCAATCCTGTGCACACACCAATGCCTCAACAATTCTAGGAGTTAGGGAACTCCTAAAGGCATCAAGTACCCTTCCACTTGTACTGAATGCTGATTCTGAAGCAACAGTTGATATTGGAATAGCTAGAATATCCCTTGCCATCTTAGATAAGACAGGGAACCTTTCAGATTGCTGCTTCCACCATCTTAGAAGGTCAAAAGAATCATCCCCATCCACAATAACCTCAGAGAGATACACTTCCAACTCAGTTTTTTTCCTAGACAAATCTCCACTCACCAATTTTTGCTTCTTAATCTGAGATTTCAGTAATGATTGAGGTCTCCCAACAGAAACAGAATCAGATATTGTTATTGAGGGAGATGATTTGTCAGAATGTTCAACAGACTGGACAGGGAAGCATGCAACATAATCTTCAAACAACTCCTTAAGGCCAACAATAACCTTATCAAACATTGTTTTACCATTGTCCTCACCATACAACTAGTTAAACTGAATGGGCATATATTCAATTTTGTCCCTGGGTCTAAGATATTTGCAAAGAATATCAAAAAATTCATTTTTTCAGGCTCACCCCAATACTTATCAAATTTTGCCCTCATATTTTTACACATCAGTTTAACACTATCTTCTGTAGCTTCCTCCATATTTTTCAACAAGCAAGACAAATCAGAAATCTCAGAGAAGAAGGTATTAGAAGTCACATACAATCATGGTTGCAATAGGCGCTAGGCGCTAGTCGGGCGGTAGAGTAGCGCCTAGCACCTAGACGGCCTAGGCGGGGCCTAAGCGGTCGCCTAGGCGGCTAACTGAAAATATGGAAAACAGTGCACGTGTGTAGGTACATACATACATACATACATACATGTGTGTGTGTGTGTGTGTGTGTGTGTGTGAGTGTGTGTCATATAAATGAAAAAAATTAGCAAGGTCGAGTCGGCCGGGTTAACTCTGTTAACTCGATAGAAATTGACGAGTTAACTCGGCGTAATCGGCTGAGTTAGGCGCTAGGCGGCCGAATTAGGCGCTAGGCGGGTGCCTAGGCGGCCGGTCTCCTAGGCGGGAGCCTAGTGGGGAAATCGCCACGGCCTAGGGGCGCCTAGCGCCTAGGCGCCGATTACTCGGTGCCTAGGCGGGATTTTTGCAACCCTGCATACAATGATCCAGAAATCCTAACAGTCATTTCATAAAAAGATTTCAGAATCATAACCAAAGATTGAATGGATTCCCAATCTAAGAAATCAGGTACACTTCCACCCAAATCAGATTTAAATGAACTGTCATGATCATCATAGGCTTCAAATACCTTCTGAAACAATAATGCAGTATTAAGCATCATATATGTGAAATTCCACCTTGTAGGGACATCTAGACACAGAGAATTCTTAGCTTCCACCCCAATTAGATCAGCTAGTGATTTAAACTTCTACAACCTAGCAGGTGAGCTTCTCACATACCTAACAGCATCCCTGACTTTCTTAACAAAACTGTCACATTCTTTCAACCCATTCTGTACCACCAAGTTAAGAATGTGAGCAATGCACCTCATGTGCAAATACTTACACCTAACAGCAGTACAACCCCAAGAGACCAACTTCTTCTTCAAGAATCCTAGAGCAGTGTCATTGCTGGAAGTATTATCTACTGTCACACTAAACACTGATTTTAGACCCCAGTCCAAAAGGCAACTCTCTAAAGCATTTGCAATACTTTCCCCCTTGTGGGAATATATAGGAACAAATGAAATAATTTTCTTTTGCAGCTTCCACTCACTATCAATGAAATGTGCAGTTATGCACATGTAGTTTATTCTCTGGACTAAGGCCCAAGTATCAGTTGTGATACTTACCCTCTGACTACTAGTCCTAAAAAACTTATTCAAATTCACCCTCTCATCAGAAAATATCTTGAAAATGTCCCTACTGATAGTCCATCTTGAAGGGATTTTAAACCTAGGACAGCAAACTAAAACAAACTTTCTAAAACCCTGCCCCTCAACAATCCTAAAAGGAAGTTCATCTAAAATAATCATCTCAGCTAAGGCTCTCCTTATCAAGTCTTGATCAAACACCCAAGTACCCAACACCCCTTCAGTTCCTTCACTACTTTGAGTTCCAGCAGAAGAAGGTGCAGGTTGGAAAG